GAGGGGAAGATCAACCCAGGGGGTGGAGGAGATGGGGAACCGGAGGAGCCCAGGTCTACCCCTGCAATGGAAATGGGTTGGTAGACCTGGACTCCTCTGGAGGCCAGGTCTACCCCTGCAATGGAAATGGGTTGGTAGACCTGGACTCCTCTGGAGGCCAGGTCTACCCCTGCAATGGAAAGGGGTTGGTAGACCTGGCCTCCAGGGGAGTCCAGGTCTACCCCTGCAATTGGAAGGGTTTGGTAGACCTGGGCTCCTCCGGAGGCCAGGTCTACCCCTGCAATGGGAAGGGGTGGGGAGACCCGGCCTCCGGAAGGGGGGGTGCTCCAGGGCAGGGGGAGGGGAAGATCAACCCAGGGGGTGGAGGAGATGGGGAACCGGCGGGATAGGGGGGGGAACTTACCTCCTCCTGCTGCTTCCTCCTCTTCCTCATAGGTGCGGAGGTCCTCCTCTCCCGCGAGTATCGCGGGTCCCCCACTTGTCTATATACTAATAGTGAAGGCACCCCCTTGCGTGCGGATACCTGAATCTGCACATCGGGGCACCTGGGGGGAGGGAGATTTTCGTGCACACTTGGGGCAGTCCCCAGGTGTGCACAAAAATCTGAAAAGGTGAAAAAAATATTGGAGGGATATTTAAATCCCCCCAAAAGTAAAAGAGCCTTCCCTGCGCACGCGCAGGGAACGCTCTGGGAACTCTGTGGCAGGCTGGCGGTTGGAAGGCGCTCAGGCCTCACTGCAGGAGTGGGGGGAGGGAGGAGGAGATCGGCGGCAGTGGAGGAGGAGGAGACCACTGGAGCCGGGGGGAAGGGGAAGAAGGAGACCGGCGAGACCCGGCAGCTGGAAGCCGCTTGGGCCTCGCTGCCAGTGGTGTATGTTTGTTCTGCTATTCAACAGCTTTAAGGATTTAGATTTTCCCTTGATGTAAGGCTCTACTGACTTGTTGAAGTCCCTTTGAGCATTTCCCAACAACATTATACACATGAATATATAATAAAATAATGTTTTAAGATTTATAGTCGTTGTTGTTTTCCTTCTGGAGACTGTGTATTGCTTTGATTGGCATTTGAAGTGTTCTTCCAGCTTCGACAACTTATTTATTTAATTTGATTTGTATATATTAAAACACAGATGTATTAATACAATGCAACGTCATAAAAACTCACACATAATAAGTCACAAATACAGATAAAGTGCTGGTGGCAGTAACATCCCGATAGGCCATGATAAAATGATAACGAAGTATGGCCACCGTCAGCGTCCAATATATAACAGGCTGTTGGTGTTAACATAGAGGGCCTTGACAGATCAGTTGTTATTCGTAGTGGCTCCTAATCGAAGGCCTGGTGAAAGAGCTCCGTTTTACAGGTCCTGCAGAACTGTAGAAGGTCCCGCAGGGCCTTGATGTCTTCCGGAAGCTCATTCCACCCATGTGGAGCTGCTACTGAGAAGGCCCTGGCCCTGGTAGAGGCAAGTCTGGTGACTTTCAGTCCAAGGAGGGCCAAATGGTTTTGAGACCCCGACTTCAGTGCTCTCTGGGGAACATGTGTGAGCATGTGCGGAACATGTGCTAGAATCAAAGCTTGTGACTACAAATGCTTATTTTTTGTTGCAAAAAAACCCCTAATGTGGCAGAATACCTTTATTTTCTGTTTAATCAATTGCAGTCTAGTGGTACCTTAAAGACTAACACAATTTTATTCCAACATAGAGTTTCATGGACTAGAACCTTCTTTATCAAATGAAAGGCACTGACTTCTCACCTGGCAGACTTTCGAAAAAGGAGGCATGAAAAAAATAATGCTCGATCGATGGTGTAATGATTCCTTGTTTCTGTGTGTGTGTGCCTCTTTAAAAGTTTGGTTGAATGGCTGTGGTAGATAGACTAGAGTGGTTGAAAGAGGCAAGTGTGGTATGATTGATGGTTGACAGAGAGGGGGAGGGGCTTTGGAAGTGAATCCGGTTGGATGAGTATGTGAGTCAGTCAGTAGTTTAAGTTAGATCTTGACAGTTGATGTTCAGTTAGTTTGGTGTGGAAGCAGTTAAGCTGTCTGTTGATGTTGTTCAGAGAAAAAGGAAAGAGATCTAAAAGCTGAATGTCTAGGAAAAGTAAAGTAAAGTAAAGTTTAAGTGAAGAAAAGTTATAGGAAATTCTGTGTGTCATAACAGACTGGAGTGAAACAGTAAACGTATAGGGAATTGAGATCAACAAGTGTTACAAAGTTACATGCAAAGATCTCTGTCAGTGAGAGAGAAGATTGTGTGGGATACCAAAGCATTTGTTCAGTATTTACACATTACTAGTTACATTGTACTACCCTCTTATTTATGCTTTATTTCAATAAATCCTCTTTCATTCAAGTATACCAGCTCTGAAAGAAATACTTCCCAGAACCACATAGTTCCTCGTAAGCCTTGAACTCGGTCTACCTAACCAGTAAGAGCAAAAGTAAAAGCATAAAGGTTTGGAAATCCTTAAAATTTCCTGGTGGCAGCCGATTCTACCCTGTTAAACAAAATAAAGAGAACTTTTAAAGGGAAACCAGTCCTCCCCAATAAGGAGGAAATCACAGATGGTGTCATGAAATGAGTAAATACAGGATGAAATGAAAATATGTAAAATGGAAATCCAAACCAGATACATCTAGAAGCCAACCAGAAGGACTATAATGGGCCATTTTGCTGGTTTTGCTTAGCTAGTAACATGATAATTGGCACAGTCTCCTGTTTTACTAGTACAGCTGATACATAATGGCTAATAATGACTAGATCAAATCAAGCCTCAGTTACCCCTACAAACTAAAATGTCCAAACTGAAGCTTTCATACTTTGGCCACATCATGAGAAGACAAGACTAATTGAAAAGGATAAAAATGCTAGGAGAAGTTGAAGTCAATAGGAAAAGAGAAGACCCAGCATGAGGTGGATTAACTCAGTCAAGGAAGACACGGCCCACAGTTTGGAAGACCCAAGCAAGTAGGGTTCCCAAGTCTTATCTGTACCGTCGGCGGGGGACTCCCATGTTGTTCCGTGAGTGTGTGTGCACACAGCAAGCATGTCACACGGAAGTGACGTGGCCATGTCGGCCGCACCGGGGGCGGGGCTGAGGTCATCCGAGGGAAAAACATACAGTTTTCCCTCGGATGACTGCGGCCCCGCCCCCGGCGTGCCTGGCGTGGCTGCGTCACGGGTGGCGTGCTGACACCGGGCATGTCCAGTGCTTGGGGGGTGGGGTTCCCCCCGGGGCCCGATCTGCCGCCGGCAGGGAACGGGCCTCTGGGGCGGGGGTTTCCCCGCCCCCCAGGGGAACTTGGCAAGCCTACAAGCAAGGCAATTAACAATAGGATGTTTTGGAGGTCATTAATTTGTAGGGTTCCATAAGTCAGAAGCAGCTTAATGGGACATAACACATAATGGCTAAGGATTCCATTTTTGAGTATGGGGGGGGGGGGTTTTCCACACACCAGATTCTCCCTTTAAAGTTCCTTTACTATGGATTGGTGATTTTCCTTAGTTTATGATGGTGCTGTGATATCACACAGAGTAGAATGTTGCTCCTTTGTTTAAAGTGGACAACGATCCGTCAGCTATACCATCAGAAGATCCATCAGCAATAATTTTGCTTTGGGCAGAACTATGAGGGAAACAATCGGCCACTATTTAGCAGAACACCGCAAAGGGTACCAGCAAGAAGGACAAAGATCTGGCTGTAGTCGTATCATAAACCAACATCACCTGGAGATTCTACTAAAAAAAAAGGCCCATGAGTTGGGGGCTGGTATAAGCAGGGGTCATTTCCTGCAGGAGCGCACAGGAGCAGAGCTCCGGCAGTAAAGAGCCCAGGGGGCGGGAACATGCAACAAGCCCCACCCTCTGCTCCCAGCAGCCGTCAGTCTGAGCAAGAAGCAGCCAGGTAAATTGCAGAGCCCCCCTCCCCGGCCCCCCGAGTCCAAAACAGTCCAGTGGCACCTTTAAGACCAAGTTTTATTCAGGTACAAGCTCTCCCTCCTCTGTGAGGACAGATCTGCACGTTTCCTTCCACCCCCCAATAGCTAGCAATCCAAAACAGTCCAGTGGAGCCTGAGCGGTGGGTGTTGCCTTCTGACACACTTCCGGTGATGTCAGGGTGTGTGGCATATGCAAATAAGTTATGCTAATGAGCTCCTGCACCACTTTTTCTATGAAATGACCCCTGGGTATAAAGAGAAGAACTGGGGGAGGAACAGAGCAAAAAACATGCCCGGATCCAACCCTTTGAGCTTTCTTAAAACCCAGTGCTTTATCTGAATGCAGCTTTCAGGGCATCCTGAACTTGTTTGTTCCTCAGGCAGTATATGAATGGATTCAAAAGAGGGGACACAATAGTGTTAAGAACAGCCACTGACTTGCTAAAGCTGAACTCACTGGCGCCTTTGGGTTTGACGTACATGAAAATGCAGCTGCCGTAAGTGAGGGAGACCACAACAATGTGTGAAGCACAAGTGGAGAAGGCTTTCTGTCTCCCTGTACCCGATGGTATGCGCAGGATACTGGAAACAATATTGACGTAAGATAGAACGTTGACCGTCAATGTCCCCGTAAGGATGAATACGGCAGTGATGAAATATGCGAGATCGAGCAGAGTTGTGTCGATGCATACAAGTTTCATCAAGGGTCCTTTGTCACAGAAGAAGTGGTTCACGATGTTTGGGCCACAGAATGGCATGTAAAATAATGTAATGGCTGGGCCCAGAATGAGCAGAAATCCTGCCACCCAAGAGCAGGACACCAGCAACGAGCAGATTCGACCATTCATGATGGTGGTGTAACGAAGAGGGTTGCAGATGGCCACGTACCTGTCGAAGGACATCACTGCCAGCAGAAAAAACTCTGTGGCTCCCAAGACAAAATAGACAAAGAACTGCAGGAAGCAACCGGATAAAGAGATGGTCCTGTGGCCCGTGACCATGTTGGCCAATGCCTTGGGAGTGATGGAACTGGTGAATCCAATCTCTAAGACCGCAAAATGCCGGAGGAAGAAATACATTGGGGTGTGGAGACGGCGATCCCTTAGTGTGATTGTGATGATCACTGTGTTCCCCATGACGGTCAAAAGATATGTGCCAAAGAAGAGGGAAAAGAGGAAGATTTCAAGCTCATGGTTGTCAGTAAAACCCAAAAGTATAAATTCTCTCACTCGGGAACTGTTCATTGTTCTTGGGACCAGCCTGAAAGGAAGAGAAATGAATCATTAGAGCTTTGGTTTTATAGGTGTTTTAAATAAAGCATTGTTTTGTTATGCACATTTAAATCAGTATGGCCAATGATAATTGTATCGCCATGAGGCATGGTTCTATGTGATGTGGAAGAACAATGAGCAATACGGCCAGTCCTAGATTTTGGGAAGAGCATGGCAGACAGTGCCTAGCCCCCTCCCCCTGCCCACCACCAGCTCCTAGTGCCAGCATGGTGTAGTGGTTAAGAATGATGGACTCTAATCTGGAGAACCACATTCAATTCTGCACTCCTCCACATGAAGCAATCTGGGTGACCCCTTGGGTCAGTCACAGTTCTTTTAGAGCTCGTTCAGCTCCCAAAATAAGTCTAACTCACCACCTAGTGGTGCATAACACTAAAAGAGCTAGAACTTCAGGCTGCCAGAAAAGCTTAGGTTCTCCTGGGTATACTGCACACAGTGCCATGCGAAAGTAATTATTAATCCAGCAGCAAATTGCCCCCATAGAACCAAGACTGGGCCCCTGCTTCATTTAAACTTAGCTGGCTGGCTGGCTGGCTGGCAAAACCAGGGGGTTCCCTGCCGCCAAGTTCCAATGTTCCTTCTAAGCTGTGGAGTCTTGTGAGCAAACATTCTACTTTGTGAGCTACTGGCATTTAAAGCTGTGAGCCAGCGATTTGGCTACTGCATAAATTAGTCTACTCTGGAGCCATCCTTCTTGAGCAAAGACAAAAAGGTGTGAGCCAGAGGCTAAGAAACTGTGAGCCAGCTCACACTAACTGAGCTTAGAGGGAACACTGCCGCCAACTAGGGAATGGCCACCCTACAAGCCTTTCACCCTATCTTGATCAGTTACTCAGCCCTCTCAACTGCACCACACCAGCATGCAAACCATCCACCCCCCCAGGTATTTCTTCAAGCTAGTCCTTCTCAGCTCCAAGGCCCACAAAGACCTGCTAAAAGTCACCGTGCTTTGATCAAGCCACAGTGCAACAGGGAAATGGCTAAATTGATTTGCTTCTTCTCATCTTTCCCTTGGCTGCTCCAGCTCTGAATGGGGCAGTAAATGCCCCCCCCCGAATCAAGACTGGGCCCCTGCTTCATTTAAAATCTCTCCCCCACCCCCGAGGCTCTGAGCCCATTTTCACTAGCCTTGCCATTATTTAGGACTGACTCATAATTTCTCGGAGGTTTCTCTTGTGGGGAAGAATCTATGTTCATTTTGCATTTTGCTTGGGGCTACACCCCATGACAATCAACACATCAAATGAACTTGGAAGGCTGGTGATCTTAACTACTGATGGGTGCTTGGTTTCCAAGTAAGGTCGCCAGCCTCCAGGTGGGACCTGAAGATCCCCCAGAATCAGGGGTCATTTCGTAGAAAAAGAGGTGCAGGAGCTCATTAGCATAACTCATTAGCATAACTTATTTGCATATGCCACACCCCTTGACATCACAGGAAATGTGTCAGAAGGCAACACCCACCGCTCAGGCGCGACTGGACTGTTTTGGACTGCTAGGTATTGGGGGGGGGTAGGAATGTGCAGATCTGTCCTCGCAGAGGAGGGAGAGCTTGTACCTGAATAAAACTTGGTCTTCAAGGTGCCACTGGACTGTCTTGGACCGGGGGGCCGGGGGGAGCTCTGCAACTTACCTGGCTGCTTTTTGCTCTGACTGAGGGCTGCTGGGAGCAGGGGCTGGGGTTTGTTGCATGTGCCTGCCCCCTGGGCTCTTTACTGCCAGAGCTCCGCTCCTGTGCACTCCTGCAGGAAATGACCCCTGCCCAGAATTATACTTCATCTCCAGATTATAGAGATTCAGTTCCCCTGGAGAAAACAGATGTTTTGGAGGGTGGATTCTATGGCATTGTAGTAGTAGTAGTAGAATTTATTACGGTCACTAGACCAGCCAAATACATATAGTTACAATAGAAGTTTCTACAAGCATACAGGATACAAAATATACAAAAATAAAAGATTTGAATTTAAAACCTATTTAAAATACAGTTTCCGTAACCTCAGTATCAGTGCACAAAATCTAGCTACCTGATAAGTGATCTTAGCGTTCTTATCAGATAAAAGGCAGTCAAGCTTGGCTTTGTTTGTGCAACCAGGAATCTTATCCAGCAATGGAGTCATAATCTCCAAATGAGCCTCCTTATAATATGGGCAACTAAAGAACATATGCTCGATGGACTCGACCTCCCTTAATGGGCAACTGTGGCATTGTACCACACTGAGGTCCTTCCCTTCCCCAGGCTCCATCCCCAAATTTCCAGGATTTTTTTTCACATGTGCCTGGCAACCCACCATCCCCCATTGGTGGCTACGGGGACTCTATTTCCAAGTGCACCTAAACAGGATCATAAAATGAACACTTTGGTCCCACATATGAATGGTGCACATTCTGTCTTCAGTTATATTCAAGTCCAGTAGCACTTTAGAGACCAATGAGATATTCGAGATACGAACTTTTGAGAGTATCTGACAAAGGGAGAATTGATTCTCGAAAACTCATTCCCTGAAAGTTTTGTTGGTCTCTAAGGTGCTACTAAGGAGCTGCGGTGGCTCAAGTGGTTAAGACGCTGAACTGCAGGCTATGGAAGGTCGGTAGTTCAGCAGTTCGAGACCCGGGTGCCGCATGATGGAGTGAGCTCCCGTCTCTAGTTCCAGCTCCTGCCAACCTAGCAGTTCGAAAGCAAGACATTGCAAGTAGATAAATAGGGACCACTTCATGGGAAGGTAACAGCGTTCCGTGCGCCTTGGTGTTTAGTCATGCCGGCCACATGACCACGGAAACATCTTCGGACAGTGCTGGCTCTTTGGCTTTGAAACGGAGATGAGCACCGCAACCCTAGAGTCGGATTCGACTGGCTTTCGAGCAAGGGAGACCTTTACCTTTACCTAAGGTGCTACTGGATTTGCATCTAGCTGTTCTTCTACAGACCAAGAATATGTCTCTTCAAATTATTTCATCCTGACTCAGTGCTGAAGCTATACCCAGTGAGAAAACTTGGGCTGGGTTAGTCATTTGAATTCACTTCCAAAAGCCAAGCAATTTTACTGGGGCCCACATAAGAATTGCAGTTTGGGATAAAATGCACACCCACCTGCACATCTGGGTTGGAGTAAGCCTCGTGGAGATCTCTGTGGTTTAGCAGTGCATTCTATGTTGAGTGACCCCAGTCTAAGCCTATTGAAATCAGTAAGCTTAAACTGGAGTAACTCTGCATAGGATTGCATGGCAGATCAGGTAAACTACGTTCCCTCCCCGCTCCTCTGAACTCAACCCTTGATGGTATTTTTCAGTTTTTGAAAAAGACTAGTGCATCTTCCAAGTATCATTTAGGGTTCTCCTTATTAGACTGTTGCTCATATGTATTCTGCCTGCCCAAGTTGCCAAGTTGGTATCTGAAGAAGTGAGCAGTGACTCATGAAAGCTCATACCCTGCCACATATTTTGTTAGTCTTTAAGGTGCTACTGGACTCCTGCTCTTTTCTAGAGACATCACCCTGCCAACAAAAGTCTGCATGGTCAAAGCAATGGTATTCCCAGTAGTCATGATGTATGGCTGCGAGAGTTGGACTATAAGGAAGGCCGAGCACCGAAGAATAGATTCTTTTGAACTATGGTTCTGGAGAAGACTCTTGAGAATCCATTGGACTGCAAGGAGATCAGATCAGTCAATCCTAAAAGAAATCAACCCTGACTGTTCCCTGGAAGGCCAGATAATGAAACTGAAGCTCAAATACTTTGGCCACCCAATGAGAAGGGAGCACTCACTGGATAAGACCCTGATGCTGGGAAAGATTGAAGGTCAAAGAAGACAGGGACGGCAAAGGATGAGATGGTTAGACAGTGTCATAGATGCAACGAACATAAAATTGAACAAACTTCAGAGGACAGTGGAAGACAGGAGGGCCTGGCATGATCTTGTCCATGGGGTCGCGAAGAGTCGGACTCGACTGTGCGACTGAACAACAACAACAAAATGAAAAATCCCAGTATGTTGTTCAGAAAATGGGGAAAGTGGAAGGTGCTCTGGAGGGTTGATTTGTCTGATCTCAGTAATCCTCAAAGTCAGGGTTACTGAATTACCTAATTGTCCTCCTTAGATGCTGGAGTTTATGGAGTTTTCTATAATTCTGATGAACATCTATCTTCCACCATCTATCCATAAATTTAAAATATCCTAGTGCTGGATCCAGTTAGAGCACTACTTGGAATCTTTGGCCAGGATTCATCCTGCAACCATAGTACTTATGGCTGGAAATTTTAATGCTAGAGTTGGGGGGACAAATGAAGACCTTTTTCTGAAAAGCTATAAAACTCAGATAAAGGACTTCCAATTATGAGTTACAGAAGATCTAAAGACAAGAAAATTAATCGACCGGGCAGACATTTTGCATCCTTATTACTAAAGAATGATCTGTTAATATTAAATGGATGCAAACAGTTTGATAGAAAAGGAAATTTTACTTGTATACATCATTTAGGGGCAAGTGTAGTAGACTATTTCTTTGGTTCTGGTGACTTATTCAGAAGAGTGGAATCCCTGAAAGTGAAGGATTATTTGGGGGGTGATCATTATCTTGTACAATTATTATTATGTCTAGATGCTTACCATCTCTCATCTAAGGTAAAGAACTTAGCATTAAACCAGACACATAACACTTTAAGATCACCGTGGTGGTGTGAAATGATTCTCTGAGCATGTAACTTACAACCCATAGCTAAGGCCTGAGTCAGAAAATCCCATTGACTCACTGGACAGATGTTTGGTCTTAGTAAAATACTCACCAGTGATAGTGACAGTTGCAAAGATGGTCACACTCCCATGGCCACCAGATGTATTGTTCCTGGGCTTCTATTTATTTTAATTTTTTTGGCAAATGAGAAACAAGTTGTGAGATCCTCCAGACTCTGACAAAGCTGCCGAAGCAAAGTGAGTGGATGTAGAAATTTCACTGCCCAAGATAATTTTCTGATCCAGTAACCTTCTGGATCTTGAATATCTTTCAGTGGGCTCTTTGCTTCCTTAGCCCACAAACTCTGTACTGGTAATGCACATCTCCGGGCTCCAGAAGTGAACACTGAAGCAGGCGCCGGTGTGTTGCATCCATGTCCCTAAACACACTGCCTTTCAGGGCACAAGAAATGTTACGTCTTTCCTCATTAGGGTACCCAGAGGACATTCGTTCTTCTCCCCTGAGGAGCACATCAGGTGAGGCAAATTTATTTACCTTTTTTATTTTAGTTAACTCATTTGTATTCTGTCTTTCTTGCAGAGACTGAAGGCAAATAACACCTAAAAACCATGAAGTAAAAGAAGCAAAAAACACACAACCAAGAAACTTAGAAAACAACTAATAATATTTTTAAGCCCCCCGTAGCAGATTTTTTATTGCATTTTCTATAAACTGCAAAGAAACAAGGGAAGGTATCTACAAACTATGGGTGAAAGAAAAAAACCCCTACTGAAACCCAAGATATGGAGGTTATACAATGCTTAAACAAGTTAGCTTTGACTTTTTTAACAAACAAGATTTGTAAATGTTGAGAATGATCTTCAAATCTTTCGCTTGTAGTATCCAGCAAATCCAGCTATACAAAACAACTAATAATCACTATATCTAATAGCCAAGTTGCCCCCTCCGTGTGGATCGCTATATCTGCACTTCGGGGGCACTTGGGGGGCCGGGGGAGGTTTGTGCACACGTGGGCCAGTCCCCACGTGTGCACAAAAATCTAAAAACTGGACAAAAATATCGGGGGGATACTTAAATCCCCCCAAAACTTACAGAACGTCCCCTGCACATGCGCAGGGAACGCTCTGCTGCTGTCCTCGCCGCCGCCGCTTTGGAGCTGGCAGCCTGGCCGGCCATGAAGCCGGCGCGGCGGGGGGGGGGGGGGGGGGGGGGGGGGGGGGGGGGGGGGGGGGAAGAGACGAGCGAGGCCCGGTGGCTGCAGCCGCCGGGGCTCGCAATGGAGGGGAGGGGGCGGGAAGAGACAAGCAACATTTTGTTGCGGGTCCACTCTTGTATTAATCTAATTTCTAATCATGTATTCTGTCAGGTATTCAAGTTTTGGCTCCCATCCACTTTCTTTTGGTGGGCTTTTTGGTTCAAAAATCACCAGGGACTTCTCTGAATATGAGGATGTTTGAACAACTGCACTGAATATTTCATATGTGAATTTGATATCCAGAGGTGTGGTTTCAATACCTGATCTTTTCTACCCGACATCTGAAACTATTTAAGGGTTCAAATACAAGTAAACAATAACAGTATTACAGTCCAAATATTTTCATTTTTCTAACTGTATAGTATACACAAAACAAGATTTATGTTTCATCAGTTCAATATCTCAAACAAAACCCAATATATTCCAAAAGTTCTTCTTAAAAACCAAACTACATTTTAAACAGACTTTTAATAAGGTGACATTCTAAATCAGTGCAACTTAAAATTCTTCATTTTTTGATACAGTCTCTCTCTGTGTGTATGTGTGCAGGCGTGTGCATGTGTATGTAATAGACAAAAGGCTTTATACACATGTTTGGTACACAATGTGTACAGTATGGAACAATGTAGTTATAGAATCTGCAGTATGCTAGAGTTCATCATTTTTTTTTAAAGAGAATGGTCTCTACTGTGCTGTTATACTGTTTAATAGCTATCATGCAAAGGAATTTCCTGTTAGATATTTGACCCAGCAGCCCCCCCATGACCATAAGAGACATCCAAGCATTCCCCACCCCTTGTATCAGGAGGGTTCCCTGCTATCTATACCATTTGACAAATTCTAATAACAGAGATGGTATTCATGAGACTTTTATGTACAATGCTACCAATTCTTTTTTAAGACTTGCCATCCATTTGGAGAGTTCTGATTTTGAGGTAAAATGTCATATTTGACGCATCGTGGAGACATCAAGTCATAAGGGACTTAAGGCAACCTCAGGGGGTTTACAAAGCAAGAGATGGACAGAGGTGGTTTTCCAGTGCTTGTCTCTACATATCAAGCCCCAACTTCTTTGGTGGCTTTTCATCCAAGTATGAACCCATGAAGCAGTTGAGATCTGACAAGATAAGTCTAGCCTGGGCTATCTGGGTCAGGGCATTTGATGCCGAGCTTGTCAAACATAGATTTCATCTCAAAATTAACAGCCATCTCTTAGCCATTATTATGTGTGGTTATAATTACTGATAACTCTTTATTTAATCTTCAAGTTCAAATGACAGTTTCGCCCCAGTGATTTTAGTTTCCTTCAACAAGAGCTACACCATGACAGAGACATAAAGGTATTCGTCAACTCACAAATGATAAGTCTATGTGTGTCTACTTTCTCAAGATGTCTGGGCTGAACTTTCAAAGTGACATATCCTTCTATTTAACCTCAGTAAGAGAATGCTTCCATGAGTCACTCTACAGACTTTTTACGAAACTCAACCCCCCGTCTACATAGAGTTCTCAGGGCATCCTGAACCTGCTTGTTCCTTAAGCAGTATATGAATGGATTAAGAAAAGGAGATATAACTACATTAAGAATCGCCACAGGCTTGCTGAAGTTGACCTCGCCGTTGCCTTGGGGTTTGATGTACATGAAAATGCAGCTGCCGTAAGTGAGAGACACCACGGTGATGTGGGAGGCACAAGTGGAGAAGGCCTTCTGCCTCCCAGTAGATGATGGAATGCGCAAGATGCTGGAAACAATGTTGACGTAGGACACAATGGTAACCGTCAAGGTCCCAATGACAGAGATTGTGGCAATGAGGAAGTCCAGGAGTTCAAGCAGGCTCGTGTCAATACATGCAAGTTTGATCAAGGGTCCATTGTCACAGAAAAAATGGTTGATAGTGTTTGGGCCACAAAACGGCATCTGAAATAATGCAACTGCTGGACCCAGGATCAGGAGAAAACCTCCTAGCCAAGAGCAAAGCACCAGCAATGAGCAGACTTGACTGTGCATTATAGTTGAGTAGCGAAGAGGGTTACAGATGGCCATGTATCTGTCAACAGACATCACTGCCAACAGTAAGAACTCTGTTGTCCCAAAGACAAAGTACAGAAAGCTTTGTGAAAAGCAACCGGATATAGAGATACGTTTATGGCCCCTGGCCATGTTGGCCAGTGTTTTGGGAATAATGGAAGTGGTGAACCCAATCTCTAAGATTGCAAAATGGCGGAGGAAGAAATACATTGGAGTGTAGAGGTGGTGATCCACCAGTGTGATCACAATTATTACCATGTTCCCCATGATGGTCAAAATATACGTCCACAAAATAATCAGAAATATGAAGATTTCAAGCTTTCGGTTTTGCGTAAACCCCAAGAGAATGAATTCCCTCACCGTGGTGCTATTCATAATTTTTGTACCACCCTAAAAGAAAGGGAAATGATGAAGTTAGAGGCCTGTTTAGAGGTATTTTTCATAGTATTCATCTTCCATAAAATCAACATTACCGTTATTCATTTCATGGGGTTCATTGGCATGAGGAGGAGTCACCAAACTGGACGCTGGGGAGGGAACTATCTTGGTCATCCCAGCCTAAACTTTCATGATTTCCAGCATAGAAGAAATGGCTTGTTGGGCACTATCTCCCAGTACAGCAAATGTGTACACCGCAGTGTTTCTGTCGCTCCATGCTGGTAAAGGTATGGAACTGCCCATACGCAGGCAAGCCCATTGGATAGACTTTTAAGGTGACCACATTAATTAGGGTGGTAAATATTTTACCACTTTCAGTTCAGCTATAGGAAGGAAGGAAGGAAGGAAGTAAAAACAAAGGAAGGAAGGAAGGAAGGAAGGAAGGAAGGAAGGAAGGAAGGAAGGAAGGAAGGACCTTCAAAATCTACACAAAATCCATCTATTTCAATATTCTATCTCCAAAGTGGCTGGCCAGATGCCAGCTCATGTGTCAAACCTTGATTATATACCTCCCTCATCTGATAATGAAAGGTATGCTGCCTGTAAAATGGAGTTTTAAGTTACCTATAAGTTAGGGATTTGAGCTATAGCGTCTCTCCTCCCAAAAGAATATAGCTAGCCCTATTAAAATTATTTAGGACTTGTTCATAATTTCTTAGGTTCTTTCCTAAATGAGGAACCTCCAGATTCACTATTGAATTTTCCTTTAGGCTGAACCTCTGACATCTAATGAATGGGATGAACTTGGAAGGCTGGTGCTCGTGACTGCTAAGAAAGAGTTGATGACCTTAAACAGAACCACAAATGGTGCACTTTGGTGATCACATATGATTGATGAAAGGTATTCCTCACACAATTTGGTACCAGAGATTTTAGATAGACATTTCTGGTCCATAAAAATGTCCAAAAGCAAGACATATAATATCCATCATTAAGACCAACCAAAAGATCACCAAAAGATGTTTTCTGCACAAGTGAGTCTCTCTGCTCCTGCATTTGTATTCCTCCACCACTTTCTCTTTTTTCTGCAGATATTTGCAGTCTGAGGAGCAAAAACGCAGTTTGCTTCCTCCTGTGGCACAGCAAGGGAATTCCTGGAACCAGGGAATCATAGAATCATAGAATGTTAGAGTTGGCAGGTACCTTGCAGGTCATCTAGTCCAACCCCCTGCACTCTGCAGGAGCATAGCCGAAAGATAGTCCTAAATACCTACATACCAACAACATACCCAAAAGATGGTCGTCCAGCCTCCGCTTGAAAACGTCCAGTGAAGGAGCATCCACCACCTCCCGAGGCAGACTGTTCCACTGCTCAACCACTCTTACAGTTAGGAAGTTTTTCCTGATATTTGGCCGGTAACGACTCCCTTGTAATTCCCACCCATTAGATCTAGTCTTGCAATCAGGAGCAACAGAGAATAGATCCGCTCCATCTACTACATGACAGCCCTTCAAATACTTGAAGACTGCAATCATGTCCCCTCTAAGCCTTCTCTTTCCCAGGCTAAACCTCCTCAACTCTTTCAGCCTTTCCTCATAAGACTTGGATTCCAACCCTCTCACCATCCTGGTTGCCCTATTCTGGACACGCTCGAGCTTGTTATTTTTATGGGAAGTCTGATGCTGTGCCGCGAGAGATGACAAACTGCATTTTTTGCTCCTTGGACTGCAAATACCTCTGTGGAAATGAGCGAGAGAGGCAGAGGGATACAAATGTAAGAGCAGGGAGACCCCATTTGTGCAGAAAAGTCTAAGTTTGTATTTCTGAGTTCTCTGAAATTCTTAATCTGGCTGAATGTTCAGTACAAGAACACTCAATTAAAAAAAAGGAGCTGGTGGGAAGCAAAAAATATATGTTTCAGCCATGATCTAAGAACTGTAATCTTCAGCTTCAGAATAACATACAGGATGTGTTGCAGACTTGATTACATTAGGAGATGCTCTGGGTGATAGTTTCAAGTGGAAAGTTGTGTTGGTCTGCAGTAGAAGTGCAAGATTCAAGTCCAGTGGCTCCTCAAAAATCATGATTCTCAGGTTTATTTCTAGAACTTTCTGGATTCAAAGCCCTGAAATATCTGAACAGGCAGCTTCGGCTCTCAAAAACTTATGCCCTGGATATCTCGTTGGTCTTTGAGGGGCAACTGGTCTCAGATCTGGCTCAGTGTAATAGGTTTCAAGTGTCAAGTAGCACCAAAGCCATTTAGCGGGAAGAAGGAGAAATGGCAACCCACCTGTATGAATCAGCTGTAAACAAAATGTCTGCCCAGCACAAAATTGTGCACATAAGTCTCTTAGAAGGCTGAAAGGGGAGGGAAAGTGGGCTAGTTCCTAAAACTGGAGATTAATTTTGATGAAATAATGGGCCAGTGGAAGCCAAGGGAAATAAAATCCCATATACAAAGTCATATCCTAGATAGCAAAGAAAAAACATGACGCATTAACAGCACCATTCCAAGCCAAGTTACACCCTTCTAAACCCATGGATTTAACTGGACTTAGAATGGTGTAACAGTGTTCCATGCACCTCGGCATCTAGTCATGCTGGCCACATGACCATGGTAATGTCTTTGGACAGCGCTGACTCTTCGGCTTGGAAACAGAGATGAGCACCGCATCCCTAGAGTCGGAGTCAACCGGCTTTCGAGCAAGGGAAACCTTTACCTAGAATGGTGTCATTGTGGGGGGACACATTGTAAAGTAAACCCCTTTTTATTTTCCCCAGCCAAATGTGAGCTTCTAGCATAAGTACTCACCATTTACAATCCTATTTGCTTAAAGGACACAGACAGTCTTTTTTCTGGCCTCCCAGCATTCTGTTCTTGTTTCTTCAGATGCCAAAGAAGCCCATGGACCCTTCAGGTTATAGCTCAGGAAGAATCTGATGGTGGCCACTGAGAAGAAGCTGCCTAGGCAAAGTTCAGGATGCATAAGGTTCACTCTACAAGACCATTTCCTGATCCTGTAGCTTTCCAAAGCCTTCCATGCCTTTGACCAAAGCCTTCAATTTCATATCTCACAAACTCTGGAAACTGATTGCATACATTTCTCCATCTCTTTGCTCCAGCAACTTCTGCGTACACAGCTCTATCCCTAAGCTTGTCGTCTTTGCAAAACACACAAGAGGTTAGTGCTTTGCTTGTTAAGGCACACAAGAGATTTCAGCGATGCTCCCCTGGGGAGCACAGCATTTATCATGTATTTGATGCAGGCTGGTGGCTCCACCATTTATTCTAAAGGGTATTTGTGGGTCTTATTGTGCTCTACTGTTCAAACAAAGTACAACCAATGCAATTGGGCTGTTTCCCATGGCTCCTCTGTAGGTTTTGCCATTCGTTTTTGGCAGGGACATTGCTGTTCATTTTTGGCAGGAACATTTTGTATTATAATTCTGTTACAAACGTGAGGAAATTGAACAGAGAAGTAAAAGTAGCCACCAACAACTTAACAAAAAACCTCACTAAACATTTACCAACTACTTCTTTCAATATATTTTCACCAACTGATGTAATGGTCTCAGCCTATAAATAGTTAAGGGCAACACTTCCCAATTCATCTGATTAAATATCCACTAGTGTACTATTCATTCTTGTTAATCTATTTAGATTCTGGTTGAGGTGTGTCTATTCGTTCTCTCCATTTCTTCCAGTGTTTTCTGTCCGATCGATGGGAGATGGTTTTCTTTGAAGAGAATATATATATTATATATATAATCCTCCAGAAGGAATTGTCTCTGTCTGGAATTAGTGTTTGGAGACTGTGGACATGTGGATTAAGACTAGCAAGGTGAATATGAATCCAGACATTAGAGGTGGTCTCAGTTGGGAAAGCAAGCATTCTTAAGGGGATGGATCCACTTGACCTGCATGAGTCAAGTTGACTTGATACGATCAGGTGAAGAGTTTCATGGTTGTTTTTACACACTTTGAGCATCAGTTTTGCATAAATTGGCATAGGAGTGCCTTCTGCCAATTTCACCTTTTTGAAACTGTCTCCTCTTTGTGGCTCTGTTGACCTGACTACACTCTTGACCCAAGGCCTTGGTATCCTCTATATTGTACTAGTGTAATGCACTCTATACAAAGCTGTCCCTCTAGTTAACAGACAGACAACACCAAGTTGTTATCTCACGGTGACTGAAGCAAAACAGAATCAGAATGTTTTACCAAAGGGTGTTTCCAATCTTCCAGTTTTTCTAAGCTCATTCAGGGAGATTCAAGGTATTGTAAAAAAAAAAACACCTTTGTAAATAAAACCAAGGAAGAAGAAAATAGCCCCAACAAGCTCAGACCACTATAATAATAATAAATTTAAATGAGAGTGGGAGAGCCTCGAGGCTGTGCTGCAGCTGCTCCCGTAAGCCACCTGGGGTCCCCATTATGGAGAAAGGTGGGAGTATAAATCACGTAAATAAATAAATCATGGCCTGGGACCCTCATGCTTGAAGGGCCATCTCTCCCAGACGTTGCTGGAGATTCAGCTCGGTGTGGTGGTTAAGAGTGGTGGATTCTAATCTGGAGAACTGGGTTTGATTCCCCACTCCTCCACATGAAGCCAGCTGGGTGACCTTGGGCCAGTCAAAGTTTTCTAAGACCTTTCTGAGCCCTGCCTGCCTCCCAAGGTGCCTGCTGTGGGGAGAGGAAGGGAAGGAGATTGTTAGCTGCTCTGAAACTCCAAGTGATCATCATCACCATCACCATCACCATCACCATCACCATCACCATCACCACCACCACCACCACCACCACCACCACCACCACCACCAC